TTAGAGGAGCAGTTACAAAACCAAGTTGTTTCCTTGTTTTTCTACAGGTGCAGCAAGTTCTAAAGAGCAATCTATTTAGCTTTGTGCTCCCATCAAAGCCACAGCATTCTGTTATTTTACAAAGAAATGGGTTTGTTCATAACCTTTGGGTTTTGTTTGTCTGAGGATGTTAGATCCTAACAAATCTAGGCCTTAATTTGAAGCTGTAGCCCAGTATACTCACTGACATCCATAAAATGATCTCATTAAATAGATGGATCTCATTGATAGAAGTATAGTCATCATATGAAAATAACTGCCTTTGAAAATAAACATCTCTGTTTAGCTTGAGAATAGAATCTTTGTTGTTTTCTGGTCATGCTGATTTTTTTGTATGTGGTACAGTGAGCAAATTGTAGTATTTTCAAACTCCTATCATCATCTTTTCTAGACTTATTTGTGTGCTGATAATGTTCAGCCTGTTTTTGTGTTGATCTGTTGTCTCACTTCCACTTCACTTTAAAAAACAAACTGGAGATCTCAGTATAAAGTAACAAGGCAAAGATAGGGCTTTATTATGAAGATTTGCTACAGCTTAATAATAAACATAATAATATCCCCTACTTGTCTTAGTTTCATTTACTCAGATGTAAAATACTTATATGTATTTTAAGTGCTAGTGAAGGAGGAAAACAATGGATGGTTAGGCATTGTTAAATTATTTACTGGAGAGTAAATTCCCTGAAAACAGAAGAGAGAAGAGGAGGAGAATTGTAGGTCAGCAATGTCAAGACATTCTGCATTGCTTGTCTTTATCATCATGCAGAATCTTTTTATTAAGGCAGTGCAGAAAGAATAGATTTATGGACTGAAGGTACAATGTTTCATATGTCCATATCCATCTAGATTGACAGTTCCTACCAACATGAATTTCCCAGGAGACACAGTGTTACTGGTGTCAGTGGATGGCATCATTTACTTCAATGTTCCATTATTAAATTGATAACAAGATAATTCCTCTGCTGCTCAGAGACATGACAGGTTTTACAATTCTTAACTTTCTTATTGCATGGGATTTGATGTTCTAGGTAGTTTTTAATAAGAAGCTTATTTTTATTTCAGTTCTGCAACAAATCAAAATTTACAACAAGAAAGTACAGAAAAAGAGAAACCTGGTTTAGTGTACAGGGCATCAAAATCAGGCTGGTTTCTAGAGGGTTATTTTTACAACAGTAAATCTTTGTGCTCCCACTATTTTTCAATGCTGCACATTTAAGCATATTTATGCAATACAGAATATTTGTTGCAGTTGTACTCTTATCTTGTGTGGTGGGTGTTAGAAGTGTTCTGTACATTGGTAATACTGGCTGAATGATTCTGAGGATGATATTTCATCAGCCAATGGCCATTTTGAAAAGAAAAGCACTGCCACAAGTGTCACTGAGTAGCAGCAAGACTCATAGATGTGACTTGTCCTGAACTTCACGCTACGTGAGAGGTAGGGCTACAGAGACCAGCTAGTGGCGTGAGTCTCAATAAGGTGGAACCAACCCAACCCAAAAGTCCTGTGGTGCTGTTGTTTATTCCCTTTCTGCTCACTCTTTGCTACTGAGACTGCATCTAAGAGGTGCTGTAAGGGCAGAATCTGGCCTAAGGTCCCCATGTTTGACTTGCGTGTGTGAAAAACCGTGATCAGTCCACATGCAGCAAGTGTGTTTTCCATGCAGATATTTACAAGGTTATTTATCACATCGTTGAAATAGCTAAGGAGTGCCCATTAAGCCATTCTTTATTAACTTTTCACCAAGCACCTGGTGGACCACATGCTCTTGTAGCTACACATGTGCAGGATCTTCAGGAAGTGTTGTGAGTGCGTCAGCCTGTCATGATGTGTGGGTGAGAGATGGCATCGGTCAGAACTGAGTGTGTGTACACCTTGTTCAGAGAGATGGGGGATTTTAATGCTGTGAAACAGCGATTCAGCTGCCAAAAAGTTCTCCTGTCCTAGTGTGTTTGTATAAATGTAGGTGTCTTTTCCATAGGTGAGTAGTGAACTAAACGTGTTATTTTTGCCATTGTTTTAGAAAGGTTATATCTTCAGTGCCAAGCTCCTTCTTAGTCAATGCTTCCTGAGAAATTTTGATTGAAAAATGTTTGAGTTTGTTCAGTCTAAGCAGGTTGTGTGGCAAGGATATACTGTGTTGTTTTGGAAGAAGAAACATGTCCTGAAAGGAAGATTGAGGTCTTTCCATCTGACCCAAATGCAAATATCTTTTGAAGTTTAGATTGGTCAAGAATAATTTTGTGGGTATCGAAATCTTGTTCTTAATGTAACCTTCAATCTCTGCACCCTCTCTTTCCACAGCTATTTCCCTGTTCCTTATCTCTTCTTTGCAAACAAGTAGCTGTTAAAAAACCAGTCCTTTGTACTTCTTGGAAGCTCCTCTTGATTTTATAGAATTCAGGTGAACAGTCTCTTGAAGATGATGCTAAGAATGTCTTTCTATTTTTGCAAGGACTATGCACATAAAAAATAAAATCCTGGGGATTTTTGCAAGTGTTTGAGAAAGCAGAAGAGGGTGCATATTGTGGCCAGCAGCAGTGTCTAAACACAGCATCTATGGATACTTGATGCAGACCTGCCCGCAAGTCTGGTGCAGCAACGAGAAAGGACAAGCAGGGAAGAGAAAACAGAAATTATATGGGTCGCTGAATTTCCTGAAGTGCAGGGAGATTATGCACAGACCTGGAAGAGTAAGTTAGGAACAGATACAGGCCCTGGCCTGTGTGAGATGGCCAAAATAAATATGGTTATTACAGGCATGAGGGTAGAGGACTGTGTTTCCATTCTGTCTGTTGGGAGGTTTCCCTAAATTTGCAGGAATTGATAGTGTTCACATTTAAATCCAGTCCCTGAGATCTTTTTTTCAGACTGTTTGAGTGTACTGAAACTCCCTTACTCCCTGAAGAGCAGTACAGGACAAATGATAATTGTCAACCTAGAGTTTTAGTGCTGTCTGGCTTTAAATAGATGTTCTCGGGATTGTCTGACCCAAAGTAGGCCCAGTTATTTTTTTTTCTCCTTCTTCTTGTTTTTAAAACTCTTGCAGTGAATTCTGTGTGCTAGGGAAGAAAGATCACTTGAAGGCATTCACAGTGGCAAACCTCATCCTTTCTATTTCTTTAAATGCTATTGCATTCATGAGACATCCACATAGAGATAATGGAAGAGAAAAAAAAACATTCACAAGGGAAATAGATTCTAGTTTAATCTTCTAGGGGATTATTATAAACAGGGAGAAAAAATATTTTAAGGATTATGAGAAGTACCTTGTCAGTGTTCTTTTAAGTAGAACAACTACTAATGCATTAGTTACAGAATTGTGTGAAATGTAGCTTTTTACTAGGTTCTTTAGCTACAGTATATTCATCTTACAATTATATCCTAACTGGTACATTACATACCCTCCCTTTTCCATCTCCCCTCCAACAAAAAAAAAATGTTTTATTGTAGACCACCTTCTTCCAAGAATGATCAAGAAAATTCTGAACACAGAACAGTGTCTGATGTTACAAACATGCATTTGTCCCTTTATAGGCATTCGGAGAAATTGTCTATCACCTTGTGTAGTGTCAGGGCGTAAAGACCTTGTCTAGTGACATCTGTCACAGTGATCATCAGGGAGGGAGCAGTGTCTGCAGGGCTGCCGTGCTCCTTGGCACAGGGCGGAGTAGGCAGGATCTCTTGACAATAGGCAAAATAGCAGTTTGGATGAAGAAGAAGAGGGAACAGCATATACCAGCTATGATTTTGATCTGAAATAAGAAATGGGCCAGGGGTCCCACTGTGCTTCAATCATGCACGGTTCACAGGCAGCCCGCACTCAAGCTATGACAAAGCTGCAATTTAGTCAACCTTCATTTACCACTTACTACACTTTAGCAGCAGCTTCATTGTAAGATCTGTCAGTAGTCTACTTTTGTAAGCCAGGAAGCGTGGTGTGGCCTCACACTTGTGGTTCAAACCACTGTAATTAAGCTCATGTCAGGTTGCTTCTGCAAATTTCAGGAATCAAGAGGAAGGATGTGCTCTCTGGGGATGCTCCTGGGCTGGCCCGTGTACTGGACTTGCATGAGATACCAACTGTTTGGGGCTATTAAAGTTGCAGGGGTGGTAATGTGGTACATGGCATTGTAGGCACCAAAGATGTGAAAAAAATAAGTTAGTGAGAAGAGGCTGAGAAGCTGCAATGTGATACAAATTCTGTTTATTACTTCCCAATAAAAATTTCATTCTTGTTATGGAGATAATTTGGGATTTACAGTTTCCAACAATTGTGTGTGTTGGACAGTTTTTCTACACCATGCTTCTCCAGATTTGTCTGAAATGAAGGAATCATTAACCATCAGCATTATGGGAAAGTTCAAGAGAAGTCTTGTACTAACTTTGAGTGACAGATTAAGCCTATCCCAGATATTAATGATGGTTGTAAAACTTGTTTGGAAAACAAAAATATGAAAATCAAATTTCATGTTACCTGTCAATCAAACTTTCATGTGAAAGTTTTACACGAGGGGGCCAAATAAACAAGAGTGTGGCCAGATGTTTTTCTGTTCTCCTCTCCTGATGTTTTCTTTGAACACAAACTGAGTCAGTAATGTTCTATTAAGTTTTATTATATCTTTTTCTAATTTAACCTTTTAGCTGTTGCTTTTTTTCTTCCAAACATCATCCTTCTAATACGTCCTCCATGCAGGAGTTGCTGGGCTGAATTATCTGCTGGTCTCACCTGGAATGTATCAGCTATGGAGTTTCAGTGTCTGATGATCTTTAATGGGTCCAGAACATGTGATTTGATTTTAGTCTTAGATAGAAATTAGCATTGCTACTTGAACTGGACATTGACTAAAAGAGTAGTTAACATTTGTTTAATAGTAAATACCATTGTGTGCGACTGGAAAGGTGTGTGCTTAGGTTTCCACCCAGAAGAATTCTATTAGAACTTATTTTACGTGAAAACATGAACTTCAGAAAATGTGTTAGAGGGAGAAGCAGCTATAGGCAGAACCTGGACCTGAATGGTGCTCAATGCAATGAGGAGGAAAGGCAACTACACAGAACAGCTCTTCGGGAACTGGGAACAGTCACCGAATGGGAAATAAAATGCGTATGGTGGCAAAACAAAATTTCCCTGGGCCACTCTCCCAGTCCTCCCGGATTTCTGCCTCATCCTGCAAGTCTCCTCCCAGTTGCCTCTCGGTCACAAAACAGTTCTGGCTGGCTGTCACTGTCCTGAAATTGAATAGCATGAGATTCCAAGGGGCTGGGTTTGGTGTGTCCTGGCTTCCTGAAGTCAACTGGAATACTGTGTTCATACACTGCCACATTAGACTGGAAACTTATGCACTGCTGTCTTACCTAGCTCTAAAGTGTCCCAAATGCTTCTGTCATTGTATAAAGAGTAAATAACTACTTAATCCCTCTGACCTCTGGAACCAGTATGACAGTTTCCTGCTTGGCTCTGTGTCTAGAACAACCTTCGTTCTCACTGTATCACATGACTAAAAGAATGCAAAGTCCTTTATGTGATAGACCTTCTTAAATCTTAAATCACAGGGATACAATAGATGAGTTTGTATACTGGTTGTCACCCCCAGTGAAATCTGCAGCTGTATTTCACTGTATAGCTAGTGGCACACAGCTGGTAGTTGCCCTATGCAGGTCATGGCAGTTTCTGTCTGTAGTCACACTAATATACTGCATTAACATCCATCTGGTAACATGGCTTAAAATGATTGCATATATGTTCTTTTCAGGTTCTGATCGCCAGTATCATGTGCAGCTATAGCAGGGAGGACTGGACTGAACTTTCAAAAATGGCTGAGGTAATGGTTTCCTAAATGTGTTTCTGCATCTTTTTGTAAATTCTCCATAAAACCAGAGCTGCAGTAAGGAAATTCTTGAAAGAAATAGATTCAAAGTGAAAAATGAGAATTTAAAGCATGTCCATTATAATTTGTTTAGTCTGTGTTTTCATTAAAATGATGGAAATGTAAATTTAAAGGAAATCTGTTCCATAAAAATGGTCCCTTGGATTTTTAAGCAGTACCTGGAAAGCCTTTAGTCTTTGCATCTATATACTTTTTATTTGCATTTTAAGCAAACTGTATATTATGACGGATGCCCTGATAAAATTTAATTCTACCTCTGAGAGCCTAACTTGATCTTACCTTGCCTACAGGCACACTAGTTTGACAGCACCAGAAGAAATTTTGAATATAAAACTCTTGAATATTTAAAGTATAAAAGGCTCATTTAATGCTATTCTAGTTTTAATACAGACTCTCAAAAATGATAGCTGAGAAAGCCAGCATATATAATAGCAGTCAGCAGGCTTCCTATAATATAAATCCAGTCTTACAGAAATGCAAACACGCTTTGCACCTGAAATTTCTATTCAGTTTGAAGGAAAAACACTATTTAAAAACATGTATCTGAGTCCATAGGGAGTACTATAAGAAATACTTGATTAAGACTGCGATAATTTCATTCAGAAAAGTGTGCTTATCTGAATGGAATGCAAAGTTGTTATCTTTAAAATGTGTTTTCCACAGAAAGTATCTAGAGGGAATAAAGAGCATAGTATTAGAACAATAAAGGAAGGGTTTAACAAATTTAAGCAAAGAAAAATCTTAGCTTGTCATTATTGCTAGCATTAGCTCAGATTTAAATATTCTGTAAATATTAAATATTTTTAAATATGTTTTTGTATGTGTATGGATACTTTGAATTTGTGTTTTCATATGGCACAACATGTATGTTTGAACATCGTTGTTTCTTTATTCACTGTCCTAAGCCTTCCTATGGTGGGAAGATAGTTTACTATTTTCTTTGAGCATTTTAAACCTAGGAGGGGGAAAAAATCACTTTGGGGACTTAGGGAAGTGAAATTAAACATTATCAGTAGTTAGCTTGGTGATCTTCAACACTATTCCATTTTATACCTGTATTTACCTAATTGACCATGAAATCATTTTTTGGAATCTGTGCTTGACAGAAGTAGTGCCACTTTTAAACTGACTAAGACGAATGGCTTTATTGTACCATTTGTTCCTCTTTTTTTAATCCAGTGATACTGCTATCCAACTCTAAGAAAGATATTTCCAATCTATGTTTGTATTTACATTACCCCTTTAGAAAAAAAAGCAGTTCTTTAAATGCAGTCAATGATGTGTAACCTATGTGATATAACATTCCTCTGGAAAGTAGTTGTTGGTGTCCACTCTGTGGAGAGCAGCTAGTTCGGGGCACTCTGCTGAAGAGCAGTGATATTTAATCGCATGCGTAGGATCCTACCTAGGAGGTAATAGATGTGGCTTTCCAAAGAGCAGAAGCCCCAGAAGGTACCGCAGTATGTCTCAGCAGGAGGACGACCTATTCATACAAAAGGTCAGCTTGTCAGGGAGGCCGACAGCAGCGCGGCATGGCCAGGCTCGAGGAGCTGGCCAGGACGTAGAGGATTCCTGAAAGTGATGGAT